ACTTGAGCCCGATCGACTGGACGATAACCTTCCGTCCATTCTACACATATCGATCACAGATTGCTCACCACCTGAGCCTGATCGACAGGACAATAACCTTCTGTCCATTCCAAAACATTGATCACAGATTGCTCACCAGCTGAGCCTGATTGACCGAACAACAACCTTTTTGTCTACTAAAGATGACTCTAACTATTAATGCCTCCGTACGGCTCACCAAAAAGAGCGACTGGCAGCCCTGGTTCAGTCGCATCAAGACACGAGCAACTAGAGAATGTGTCTGGGAGTATATTAATCCAGATCTCTCACCAGAAAATCTCCTGGTTAACACTATGCCACAGAGGCCTGAGGTCGCGAAGTTTCATACAGGCAGCACCCAGCTCAGTCCGAATCCTATGGTCTCTGACCTAAACCTTAACGATTAACGATGCTACACAATGGCCCGCGAAGACTACCGCGATGATCTAAGGTTATTCTAAACTTAACACAAAGCCCTATTAGACATCTATGTGCTTATTAAGAGCACCGTTGACGCATTAAACTACCCTATCATTAGGGACAAAGAAACAATCTACAAAAGGCTAAAGGCCTTGAGGGCAATCCTGGAGCCCTCTAACAAGCAGCTTAAGCAGAGCGCACGAACAGCATACAACTGCGCAAGGAAGTGGTTATTAAAAATAAAACAGGACTAATGGATCACAGCGTACAGGAACGCATATATTGATGCTAAATCAGTCCACCTGCCAAATGTGACGGAATATCAACCACACTATGACTTCGTGTCGGCAATTTCGGACGTAAACCCTGGATGCGCAGCAGCCATCTAATCAATCCTGGTCCAGCATGAACAGACCGATGAGGATCCACCTGATTTCCTTACTAGCTGTCTAGAGTTCTTTAAAAATTAGCAACAATTACAGCCAGCTTAGCAACCTAGTGTCACCCACAGCGGTTTCGCCACATACCAAGGACGCTCGTCCACACCAGAACAGCAGCAACAGCAGTTCATATGCGACTTCTGTGGAGGTCGCCACAAATTAAAGAACTGCAGGATTAATGATCCTTGACTAAGACCTAAAGGGTTCTAGATCCCTACTTTCCTCTAGCAGGAATACAACAAGCGGATAAGCAGCAATCCTTAGCTTAAAGCAGAAGCTGAGCTGCTTAAGAACAGAGACCTTCCCCCACCAAGAAACCAACCAAACCAAGGAAGAGGACGCGGTGGATGGAGAGGACGCGGAAGGGGCGGCAACAATGGCAACTATTATTAGCCAACTCAATTGTCCAGTCACGCGACTTAATCGTACGATCAAAGCCCACAGTCTCAACCTAGTCCACATCCGAATGCAATCTCCGAGACGCCAGCTCCCAATAATTCCACTAACTGGAATCCACCCAATGCCCCAACTAGCACCAGGCGATCAGCAGCTACTCTCATGAGCTTCACGACAAACCTCGTGAGTGAGGAACATGCCGCGGAGCCGGATGACGAAGAGAATCCTCTCTAGCACTCATGGATCCTAGATCCTGGAGCGGACATCCATGTTTGCAACAATCCAGCTGACTTTCAATGGACTCGGAGCTCATCCCCATCGGACCGACTCAGGGCCGGCAGCCAACTCCTTCCTATACTGGCATGGGGCACGGTCACACTCACCGTGAAGGGTCCCAGAGGACCTACCAAGATAAACCTGAATGACGTAGCCTACATCCCTAACATGTTCACTAGTCTTGTATCTCTTTTACAAGGACAGGACATACACTTCGACTCTGGAGACAACCTCGTATACAAACGACTCCATGATGGCACCCGATCACCGATCTGCTTCACTACTCGAACTGGGGGTCACTGGGCCCTAGTATTGCGCACAGAGGATCCATCCATTGGATCCACCTCACTAATGGTTATGGCTGCTAAAGACCTCGCACAGCGACGCTTTCGTCCAAGCTATGAACGGCGACCTATTACGCAAGACGCGACCGCCCTCCATCATATATGGGGATGCATCAGCCCAGAAGCGGTCACACACCTCCACGAGTCGGTCACCGGCGTACAGCCACCGACCGGCAGAGCGCCGAACACTGTTGAATGCGACTTATGCGCGCTCTTGAAGATGAAGCAGCAGATCAGCCGGAGAAACGAACACGAGATACCTGTCGATGGACCATTCCAGCGAGTCGCCTTCGACCTAATAGAGCTCTGGTCTCCATCAATCCACAAGAACATCTATGTAGTCCACTTCTATTGTACCTGGTTAAAGTATAACCTGGTATTCGTCACCCTGTCTAAAGAGAAGGCAGTGATTCTTCCAATCATACGAAAGGTCCACAAACTAGCATTAATTTAATTTAACATCTTAATAACGCTACTCTAGAGCAATAATAAGGCTGCATTTAGACAAGCAGGAGAGACTCTGCAGAAATTCTGCGACAAACAGGGCATTACCCTAGAACTGGCGCCACTGTATACGCCAGAAGCTAATGGAGCAGCTGAACGCTTAGGCCAGACGCTCATCATTTGAGCTCAAAGTCTCGCACACATTAGCAAATTCCTAAAGTCTCTTAAAAACACTATATTTAGTCTCACAGGTTACATGCTTAACTGTACACCCATCTAATTGCTTAATTAGAAGACACCATTTAAAATGCTATACAGCAGGAAACCAGACTGCTCTCACCTTCACTGAATTAGTGTTAAGGCATATGTCCTCATTAAAAGGACTACGAAGTCAGACAAGCTCGCACCACAAGCTTTCATCAGATATCTACGTGGGTATGACTCCTGAAACATCTATTAAATATGGAATCCAACAAATAACTACGTCTACCAGGTACGCGATGTTATGTTTAACAACACTTCCTTCTATGAACTAAATAACTACGCATCGTACAAGCTACTACAACAGGTAGTTAGAGACAACATCATTACAGAGACTCTCCTTACCCCAGACAATACCTTAAACAATAAGGACTACATTAACTTTACAGAAGAGCTTCTACAGCTTAAAGAGCGCGATGACGGACCTAGCAATCAGCCGCAAGAGAAGCGCCAGCCAGGCTCCCTCCATTATCTGCCCTCTCCTAAAATGACCCTAGAAACCATCTTAGAGGTTAACTTAGAAAGGGAAACTAACATTAACTTAGTCTCCTAAAATAACCTTAGCAACACGCTAGATAATAGCTCTAACAACAAGACCCTATTAGTTATTAAGGTCTGTCCGCAAACAGGCAACGCAGCTATAGACTTTAAGACTAACAACAATTATGTTAAGCAAGCCATAACTAGTCAGCACACATCTCTAATTAATCATGAGCCTCAGGAAATCCTTAAAGGGGCTGACTTTGTCCCGCGCACATGGCTCAAGGAATCCACCAGACTAGGCCCTGCTAGAAGCACAGCCAACATTAATAAATTAAACATCCTAGAGGGAGAAAGCAGAACAAGGCGTCGACAATACGCTGCTGCCCTCATGCAAACCACCACTAAAATGTCTGGCTAGTACCACGCCTTTGCATTAGGCTTTATAAAAGACCCTGCGAAACCTGCTACTATTGCTCCTAAAGCTCTCTATTAAGATAATCTACCTCCTGTGCCTAAAACTTACTATGAGGCACGCCACCACTAATTCTCGGACGGCTGGAAGCATGCCATGGGGATTGAATTCACGGACCTCTATTGGAAAGAGGCATTTAAGCTAGTCTCCATCGCAGAGGCTGCAGATGCTCAAGTAATACCCCTGAAATGGGTATATAAGTACAAATTTGACGCCGAAGGATTTTTGACCAAATTCAAGGCTCGTCTCTGTGTACGAGGCGACCTCCAGGTTACCACGGCTGAAACATATGCTGCCACTCTAGCAGCACGCGTCTTTAGGGCGCTCGTCGCCATCATGGCCTCGTTTGGCCTGCTCGCGCGACAATACGACGCTATCAATGCGTTCATTAACGCTCGGCTCCCGACCCCGGCATATTGCGAACTGCCACCGGGCTACCGTCGCCCTCGGCAACTTCTTCGACTCCTCCGAGCTCTGTACGGGCTCAAAGACGCACCTAGGCTCTGGTATCTAGAGCTCACTAGGTCGCTCAAGAAGCTTAGCTTCTCCTAAGTCCCTAGAGTTGATTGTCTCTTCGCTGACAAGAAGCTCTTAGTCTACTTCTACGTTGATGACATTGTCGTCCTCTGTCTACCAGAGTATGAGGAGCACCTAGACCAATTTGAAATCAAGCTCATGGAGATCTATGAGATCTGAGCTATGGGGGAACTAAACTGGTTCCTTGGCATCTGAATCGACCGCGACAAGGTCAACCGCACTGCATGGCTCAGCTAAGAGTCATACATTGAGCAGCTCGCCACCCGCTTCAATCTCGATACCAGTCGCACACGTCCTTGGCCAATCACCCCACTAAATGCATCAGCGCCACCTCTGCGGCCTAATCAGATGACCGAAACAAACACACAGAGGATCATGGCATACCAGCAGCGCGTTGGCTCTATCAGCTATGCTGCTACTACTATCAGACCTGACGTCGCCAAAGCACATTCAAAGCTCTCTGAATACCTAGTCAACCCCTCAGATGAACACCAGAAGGCCGCTCAGCATGTCATCGAGTATCTCTACGGCACTAAAGACTATGCGCTTCAGTACTCAGGGACCTCCACTCATTCATCCTGGAGACCCGTCTTTTACGGCGCATCAGATGCCGCTTACGGTGACGACGAAATCAGTCGCCGCAGCTCCGACGGCATGCTATTCACACTATTCGGCGCAGCTGTCGATTGGAAGGCCTCCTTGCAGCGCTCAGTCACTAAATCGACGACTGAAGCAGAGCTCCTAGCTCTCTCTCACGCTGCTAGCCACCTAGAGTGGTGGAAGCGATTCTTCGCTGATATAGACTTCGACACTGAGGAAGAACCTACCCTACTATGCGACAATCAACAAACCGTACGAGCCATGGTGAAAGACTCTAAGCTTGATACCAAGCTCAAGCACGTTGACATTCACAACCACTGGCTTCGCCAAGAGGTACAGGAAAGAAGGATTCGCATACGCTGGATCCCTACTGCAGACATGCCGGCTGATGGCCTTACTAAGTTTCTACCTCGACAAAAGCATCAAGCATTCATTAAACAACTAGGCCTCGTCCGCCTAAGTGACGCCCTAAAGGCTCACTCTACTAACATTGGCTTTAAAGCCTAAGCCTACCAACTTCTTTTTGCTGTTTCGCACTCTTAAGTGCACTACTGTACACCTGCAGTCTATTATTTCTCTTTGTACAGCTTTGCTTCAGTATTCACTTCGTCAAAGCTGGGGGGGTGTGTCGCACGTGTCTCACGCGATATCATACCCATGTACTGCACTATTCACTCATTAGGCATAGCTCCTGTCTCGTACAGTATATAGTCAGCTCAGAGCTCTATCGAGCTCCTCAGACCTTACAATACACTCGTTCAATCCACCTTGTTTGGATCTCGCTCCCTTGTCGAGTCGTTTGCTATATGCCCCCTCCTCAGCTCATGCAAGAAGGTGTGATAAAACACTTCAAATAGGTGCAACTGCATTCAAAGCAAATTGCGGCGAGGATTCAATGTGTAGCAAGCACAAGGACGAGAAATGTTGTCCTCTTAAGACTACAGTCGCAACAACTTCTCCAAAAGCTACTTCTCCAAACGCAACGCCTCCCGCCGAGACGTCACCATCAAACATCTTTCAAATTGAGAATATAACACAGTTCTCAATGGGCGATTTTAATTTCGAGAACGGTGAAACCGGCTTTATTGAGAACAAATCCATTGTTAAAGTTTCTATGGCTAATGGAAGTTTAAAGTGGTTTGACAAGGATGAGTGGGTGCTTAAGCATCAAGAGTTTATGGATAGTAAAAGAGATGAAAAGAAGAATAAGGATGGGGAGATGGGGTTAGAAGAGGCTACACTTGCCCAACCAATGGAAAACCTAAGCGTTGGAGCCAAAAAGTAACTAGTTTTCTGATAGTTACAGTTACAGTAATATTTTCTACTAAATTGAATAATTCCCTGCTTCATATTGCGGTGGAAGATCTGGATCTAGTGTTTCATTTCGCAGAACTTGGTGAATAAAATCTCTAACTAATCCTTCGATGTCTATGTATTTGACTAGAATGCACATGGCAGTAGAAATAAATAGTAAACGTCAATTAGTTAGTGGTTTTGTTAAACTTGCTATAAGGGTCATTTTACGGCAAGAGTTGCGACTGTGAACTTATATATTAATCACAGTATAAGAGATAACGTGCCCCACCCGGAACCACATGTCGCGATGGAAGGCGAAGCTAGTCCCTCAAAGCCAGAGGCCGTTGCGCATACGACACCACAGGTTGAGATTGTGCCGAAGCCATGGAGAGTCGTCGTCGTCACGCCCGTTGTCATTCTGCCTGCTCTTGTTGTACGCATCCTCGTCGATCCTCGCCGATAGAGCAGTCGCCCCAAGCTCGAACGCTGGTAGTATCAGGGTATTCGCCGTCGGTATCCGTAGGCTTCACGCTGACGCGTGTTTATATAGTATTGAAGTCGCATGGACTCCAGCATTCTATGTTACCGATGCGAACAGTTAGGAGTTTATAGACGTGCGAGGGCGCGGGAATAGCGTTGGCTGAATCCTAGATTGCATCGGTCAGGCTTGCGCTGAACCCCTGTTGCCCCGCCACTGGCTAGCTGCGGGTGCTCGTAGCGAGGTTGCCTTCTGCATCTTACCCCGCTAATTATCTGATCAGAAGCCATTACCTCCTCAAGCACAGATTTCCGGCTTGAGGCTGCCTGTCCTCTTTCCCGTCATACGGACACAGAAGTTCACATCATCATGTGCGAGAAGACTGTCGCCACCACGATCTATACGTGCGGAGACGCAGAGGAATCAGATTTCAGCTTTTCTCCATGCTCAGATCAGAATAAGCCGGGCCACGAAGTCAAGATAACTCGTTTGGGATCTCAGAGAGCTAAGGAGAAATGTGGGAAGTTCGGGTGCAGGAACCCATGAGCTCGCTCTGTACGTCTTGCACTAAAATGATTCATACGAGCAGGTATGAGCCTTCCTTTTCGGAAGCTTGGATGAGGAAAATTTAGCAATAACAAAGGAAGAATAGCGATATAGACGAACAAATCTCCCGTGCCGCCGACAATGTTCATACGGAGCACCGCGTCGGTCAGTTGCAAAGTCAGGTTTGACATTCGGAAGACAGACGCCGACATACCGATTCCGGCTTGGCAACACCTTAAAACTGTGAACAGTAACAAAGGGGCAAACTGTAGCCCACTAACAACAGAACACAGCATTATAATATTGCATTAAAACACCTAGAATATAGTAATAGACCTAGTAAAATATATTTATTTGCCTTAAAAATCTAGAATATTTGCAAAAGTGGTGGAAAGTTTTATAGGCCAATTAGACATTAATCCGGCGCTTTTTTAAACCAATAAGAGAAAAGACTTGGCAAGATGTACAGTGAATAATAGAGATAGGGCCGTCTGTTGCTGACAAAACCAGAAGGGCGCTGAGGATTCGGACTACGAGCGCGCGGGTACTCTGTTTGTACAATGGCTGTTGCGAATCGCGAGGCATCCCAGCAACGCTAACTCGAATTCAAATTCTACGGTCACTCATTCGCTGTCGGCATGGCACAGAACGAGAGAAGGCTAGACGTAGAGGTAGCGGTAGTTTTATGAAGCCTATAGCTTAAGATGTACATTCCTGTGTACTCTTTATTTCATGGTCCAGTGCTTGTAAGACATCGTCCGCGCTCGAGTACTCTTTCGTCCAACACCCAAGGATGATGGTGCCTCCGAAAAGTCCATCGACATCTGGGTATTCCCGATTCCTGAAACGCTCCTCAACCCGCTCATCGTAGCTACGATAATCCTCCGCCGACTTGAACGGCCCGAGATCTCTGTGCGGCCAATGCCCCGAGACGATGCTGTAGAGAACAGAGCCGACGCTGAATATGTCAGTCGCCGTTGTCGACATCCATTCTGCGTTCGGGTCGAAGAAACCGGGATCAGGAAGCTGTCCCCCGTCTACACCGAGCTTCTCGCAGATCGAGCCACCAAAGTCGCAGAGCCACAGGTCTAGCGACGTCGGTGTCGTTGCGTGAACCAGGAAATTATCAGGGCGCAGATCAGAATGTATCACCCCGTGACGGTGAATGTATGAGATGGATTCGACAGCTTGTCGGCACCACCTCTGTCGGGTAGAGAGCGGGATGTTATCGTGGTTCGCTTCAAGGTAATGTTGGAGGTTGCCGTGGCTGGCTTTAGAAAGAAGCAAGCCGCGTCGGCTCTCAGGCTTGTCTTGCCATCCATGGTATCTGAAGGGATGGTCAGCAGTGAAGCAGCGTGCTGCGGCAACAAGAATGTACTTTACAATACTAGGATGGGCTCCTAGCGCTTCCAGTATTTTCCGTTCAACCAAGAAGCTGTTTGCAATTTTCTGTGTCAGCCGTGTGTACGCCGAGGATTCTTCCCATACTTCAGCCGGATGCTTCACTATCACGCCGGGCCGTACTAGAAAGATCAAGGAAGTCGAGCCTCGATGCTCTAGCGCGGCCATTAGCTGTCATTGGTCGAAATACAACGCTCCTTTGCCTTCATTGAAGATGAGAACAGATTATTCCTCCGGCGTCGGAGTTTTATATTTTCCGAGCACCGGCGAGGCTTTGCATAGCTACACCAGCCACAGCCTTAGTCGGAGGGTTATGTAACCAACATGACCTTGTTATTCATTCCGCGCTAACCTTCGGAAACCACCGGGGCCATCTCGCTTAGAGTGGGGAAGAACCGATCGGCGTGGCGACGTTGCATGAATCATCTTCTTTCAGCTGCCATGGGGCCTATCACGACTACGATCTTAAGGATGGATTCTTGACGTAATAGGAAGGGCTTATACTGCTGTATTATAGAAGCGAATCGTATCCTTGGGAAATAATATAACGTACAATTAAGAAAAGCATTATTCCGGTTTTGCGCGCAACTCGACTCTATCTCGGCAAATCTGTGGCGCCACGCTCGCAATATGAAGATTGGGCAATTTAACTTCCTATATTCTGCTCTGTTCCCGTATAAATCTACAGTTAGAATGAAAGAAACACGGAAATGAAACACTAACCGCGACGCGTTAGGCGAGAGCCAAGTTCCCCTGCTTTATATCTTTCTCAGATATGTTCTTCAGCGGGTCCTTCCCGTCAAATGCGTACTTTGCCCTCTCCTCCCTAGTCATCTTCGTGATATCATAACTAGACCCACCAATTCTCGGACCATAACTCTTCTTGTATCGCCTGAGTTTCTTTCCCCAAGCCCAAGGGTCTCTCTCTGACCTTCCGGTTGTGTCCTCCTCATATCCATCCTGAGCCTCTTTTAGTTTCTCCAGCAGCTTCTCAGTACCAAAGACACCTCTGGAAGGGTCTAGTACTGCTTTGGTAAAGTATTCCACAGCGTGCGAGCGCCAGAATATGGCGTCGTCTTCTATACCGTACTTTTCAAGGTCATCAGACCACTCAAGGAAGGAGCTGATGACAATGGGTAGGTCCAAGAACATGGAGTCGGGTTTGAGCTCGCCTGCGGATTCGATAGTAGCAAGTGCGGTGAGCAGCGCGCATCCGACGAGTTCATTGAGCGCTTGGGCCCTGTCGCCGTCGTCGGTGTCTAGTAAGCGGTCAGTTGTTTGATAAGGATGTGATTTAGAATGACATACGAATGAAGTCCATTCCTCCGTCCACACCATCATTCAACCAGTGCGCAATTGAGCTAACAATAGCCCACGCCTGAAAGCACATGTTCTCATCCTTTTTTTTCAACGCCCCATCAAACGCAATCAAGAGATTCTCCACTGCTTCTGTCACTCCATACCCCTTCCAGTCATTGTAAATGTGCATTCCGAAATTATTTGGATCACAGAAATTGACTTTGCGTTTGAAATCACACAACGTCGTCCACCCTTCACACAGCATAATCCACTTCCATTCCTTATGCTTAGTGGAAGGCTGGAAAATATTTCCTGTAGCCTCCTCTTCTTTAATAAGTTTCTTGGATACGCCACCTTCCTCACCCTCGTCCTCGGTCACCCGATACTCGGCTTCCCGGTCGAAGTATGGGCGGTGAATGCAGACGTATTCGTATGGGGGAATGGTTTCAACCTATGTGGAGTGTGTAAGCGCTAAATCCAAAGGGAATAGGGAGTGAGTCGCGTACATCACGGCCTTCCTCGTCCTCACGCGTTGACGCGCTGGAATTGTTCCCTGTCTCCCTCTTCTCGTATAGTAGCATTTCTAGTCTGCGCCAAGGATCAATCAAAATTGAATAATCTTGGAAATCTGGAGGCGACGATGGCAAAGGGATGGAGACGTGGGTGTAGGACACGGCTGCCCCCGACCGGTCAGCCTGGAAACGCCGAGAGCTCTACCAGGCAAAAACTGAAAACCACGCGTCAATACTGCAATTGAGGTCAGAAGAACGGAGTAGCTGATGCGCTTCAAGCTTACCTTTGTGTATGCAGGGTAGCTAGTGAATCGAATACGACCAATTTCTTCTTAGAAGGAAAACAGAGGTGGAGAGCGATCTGGCGAGCTTGTCGAACAGGAGGATATATATTGTCGCCCAAAAATTAGGCGGTGTTGCGGGACATTTCTCAGCTAAGCTAAACAAAAGGGTAATAGCCATTCAGCTTCTGACAAATTGGTCGATCCCACGTTACGGTGGCACAAAATCGCCTAGCATTTGCTTTGTTGCCTGAAATTCCTCCAAGCATGCATAAGCGAGAGACGTTGATCTCCGTGCCAAGTCGAACAAAAGAATACTAGCCAGTGAGCGTTTTAAGTCCTAAGTTGTTTCACAGGGAATCCAACGGAAGTACGCCTCGTGGGATGTTCACGATAACGTCCACAATGTGACCTAGCAACCTAGAACCTGATCCTCTGCTAAATGAATTAACTACCTGAAGGCACTTGCTAAAAAAACCTAATTGGAAAGGTGTCGGAGTTCTTGACCGGATGGTGAACTTGGTTTAGAGCATAGCTGCAACTGAGTGCATTCTGCCACCGATGGAGTAGTGATCCAACGCCCACCCAGCCATCCAGTCGTATGAAGGACAACCTACCAATACTTAGAAAGCTTAAGCCATGGGGTTGGCTCCCAGGTCAGGCGTTTCGTCACCGCGAGGGAAGTTGCAAGTGCCTAAGATAGCTCCGTTGAACAATCTTCTTGTTCAGGGCTGGTACCCGCAGTAATGCTGTGCATATTATCTCTTGTATCCAAAAACTTGTCATTAACAACTTTCACACAAGCTCTTTAATTTATTGCTACCCCTAAGAAAAATAACCTGTCAATTCCTTTCTAATAGTACAAGTTATAACATATATGAACTACGTTATATGAGCGTTTTGGCTAAAATACAATCATGAAGCTTTTATGTTATACTATATTACCCTGTATCTCTAGCGCTGCCTACTTGCAATTGTCTAATATACCAACAAATGGCGCCGTTTATACAATTCGTCTTATCCCGACTCCAAGCCAACAAACAACCCTACAATTTCCTTCAATCTTCCCAACAAGCCCTAGTATTAGCGTGCTAAAGAACTACTCTCGACCTACAAACCAGTCCACTTCAAACCCTCAAGTACCGTTTTCAGCTGGAATAAAAACAGTAACGTTACTTCAACATGCGGATTTCTACTTTTTTAGACATTTATTTGTCTAGTTCTAAGTATCTACATTCTCTAGATAGCAATACTACGGCATAATCCTATCCTTGGCCCTGAACAGTTATCGTCTAATAGCTCTTTCAGTAAATTCAAAGTGCATTGGCCTGTACTCTGTTCTAACTGTATATTAAAGATAGAACAATCTTCTAACCTTCCGGATAAATTTGTGCAACTTGTAATTGCTTGTTGTAGAACTTCAATATTCCACCTATTTAAGAAGTCGCTATAATAGCTAAAGCCTTACAACTGTTAAAAATGTACTTAAATAAAGAACAGTTGTGTTACCTGTCCTATCGCCGTTACTAAGAAGAAAACTCCCATCTAAGAGCCGAAAGGCAGAGGTATTCCAAATAGTTTCGTAATATAATGACAGAACTCTTGAATCAAACCCTAAAGGGCAGCTCCCTTCCATCACCAGATCAGGGTACGCAAGGTGGGATTTGTGATCCTTTGAGTCAAGATTAACACCATCCTAGCAAGATGGAAACATAAGCTCTAGGCGGAGACCGTCTGTACAATACAAATCAATAAACGACTTGTTTAGTAAAAAGTGACGCTCAAGTGAGCCTTCGGGAGTCGAATGATAATGTAAACAGGTAAACCCTAAAGCTTTCTCTGCTAGCGCTTTTTGTGTCTTATCCATCAAGGCAGCTAGCGAAGACTGCCAGTTGAACAGGTAGCTGCTGGGGGGGGCAGCTAGTTGTCGGTGCAGCTCGCGGGGGCTGCAGGTAGGTTGGATAGCTGCTGGCGGAGCAGCTAGTTGTCGATGCAGCTCGCGGGGGCTGCAGGTAGATTGAGTAGCTGCTGGCGGAGCAGCTGGTTGTCGGTGCAGCTCGCGGGGGCTGCAGTTTGAGCGGGTAGCTGCTGGCGGTGCAGCTGGTTGTCGACATCGTGGGGGTCGGACGACGCGAGAGGTGCGGGGAGGTCGGTTGTAAGAAGAGACAAAAAAGAAACATGTGCGTACAAGCTAGAGCGTAGCAACTGAGCTAACCTATCTCTAGCTGTGTCGTGGGCGTGGTGAGGGTATGAGCATACTCTAACTGATCTTACCCTCCAAGATCAGAAGAGGGGTCGCGCACTGTCTCCACCGTCGACTTGACGGGGTATGTCGGCGTCTGTCGACCCGGAGTCGTGTGCATGTGCATGAAAAAACAGGAGCGTGTGCATGTACATGATACTCAAGCTTTCATGTCACTTGAGGAGTTTAATCTAATGTCACAGTCAGCATGCTCAAGCTACAAGCAAGAGGTGGTGTAACTCAACTAGATTAAACTAAGGAGCAGAGGAGCTGCTCTGCGAGTTTAAATATACATGTGTGCCCTCTGCCAAGGCGCTACTCGTAGCACTAGCGTGCTACTCGTTGCGCAAGCGAGGGAGCTGATGCTGCAGAGCATGTGAGGCGGTACACGCCGTCACAGAGACTATAGGATTTAGACTAAGCTAGGTGCTGCCTGTATAAAACTTTGTGACCTTAGGCCTCTGTAGCATAGTGTTAACTAGGAGATTTTCTAGTAACAGATCTAGATTAATGTACTTCTAGACACACTCTCTAGTTGCTTGTGTCTTAATTTAACTAAACTAAGGCTGCTAGTTGCTCTTTTTTATAAGCTGTACAAAGGCATTAATATTTAATGTTATCTTTAGTAGACAAAAAGGTTGTTGTTTAGTTAGTTAGGCTTAGCTAGTAAGTAATCTATAATTAATATATGTAGAATAGACAGAAGGTTATTGTCTAGTTAATTAGGCTTA